GGAGGGTGGGTGACAGGATGAGACCCCTCCCCCAGCCCAGAATCCTTCCTCCAGCCCTGAATCCCTTCTCTGCCGGAGCTGAGTGGACGGTGACCATATGGAAAGCCCTGGGGAGAGGGTTTGGAGGGGCTGGAGTTGGGGAAGAGCCAGGGCCAAAACCCCGCCACAGATACTCCTGGGGAAGAATTTGGGGCTGAAAACGGAGACAAGGATGAGCTACGGCCCAAACCCCCTCCACAAATGGCCTCAGGGAGAGAGTTTGGGGCTAAATCCCATCATGAGGGGCTGAAAATGGAGAAGGGTATGAGCTCCCCTCAAAAATCCTTCACAAACAGCCCTGGGGTCATATTGAAGGCTAAAACCAAGACTTGGGGGTGCTCCCCCTGCTTCATCCCACCAGGATTTCAGTCTCCCGCATCCCCCCACCTTATACTCAAGGGCGGCGTCATCAAGGGGGACGAGGGCGTGGGCGCGATGGGCGTGGGAGATCTCGCAGAGCAGGCAAACGGGGGCTTGATCGTCACGACAGAACCGGGCCAAAGCTTGGCCATGAGCTTGGCAACGACTTTCCTCCCTGGCCTTCCGTTTGGCGCCGCGAAGCTGCCGGGCGGCTTCTACCATGTTCCCGAGTTGCCGGTTGGGCCGAAGGGCGCGATGGCGAGAGGTTTTACGGCAGACGGGGCAGGGGAAATCGCGCGCCAGTTCGGCCCACCAACGGGTGATGCAACGGCGGCAGAAGTTGTGACCGCATTCGATGATGACGGGATCTTGCAGGTATTCCAGGCAAACCGAGCAGCTCGCTTCCACCTGCAGCGTCTCCAGGGGGTCGGCACCCGACATGGCGGCAGCACTGTTGCCCCCCCCACAAATTTTGGGGGGATGATGGCTGAGCTCAGATCGGGGGGGTCGTGAGGGGAGGGTTTGAAGAGGTTTTGGGGGGAAAAGAGATTAAGTCTGTTAAGGTGATGAAGTGGTTTTAGTAAGAATGTGATGCTGAGGTGCGGCGATGTGGGTTCAAAGCAGTTTTGGGGAAAAAACAGCTCAGTTCCATCAAGGTGATGACATAGTTTTGGTGGGAAGCAATGCCGAGGTGACGGTGCGTATTTGAAGTAGTTTTGGGCAGAAAACAGTTCAATTCTGTCAAGGTGATGATGTGGTTTTAATAGGAAGGTGATGTCGAGGTGCGGCAATGCAGGTTCAGAGAGATTTTGGGGCAAAACCAGCTCAGTTCTGCCAAGGTGATGATATCATTTCGATGCGAAGTAACGCTGAGGTGATGGTGCAAGCCTGAAGCAGTTTTGGGGAGAAAACAGCTCAATTCCGTCAAGGTGATGAAGTGGTTTTAGTAAGAAGGTGGTGTCAGGATGCAGCAATGTGGGTTCAGAGATTTTGTGGAAAAAACAGCTTAAAGGTGTCAAGGAGATGATGTCATTTTGGCAGGAAGCGATGCTGAGGTGATAGTGTGAGTCTGAAGCAGTTTTGGGGAGGAAACAGCTCAATTCTGTCAAAACAATGACATCATTTTGGCGGGAACTGATGCCAAGGTGTCGGCGCAGTTCCCAAGTGCAGTTTGGAGTGGCAGTGGGAGACTCTATAGGGAAGTATCTGCCCTAGGGGCCTATAGCACACAGTCCCAACTGAAGATTGTCTATAGGGTATATAGGGTGGTCCCTATATAGAAGTCCCTGTAGCAGAAGCTCTGGGGGAGCCCTGTAGCGCAGTCACTGTAGGAAAGGCCCCTATAGAGGACTCACTGTCTGGGGGGGCGGCTCCATACAAGGGCCCCTATAAAGAAATCATTATAGAAAGGGACTCTATAAGAGATTCCCCGTAGGGACGGGGTACCTATAGGGGTGCCCCTATAGAAAAGGAACCCCAAAGTCGAGCCTTTTAGGGAGGGACAGTACGTGAGTCCCCATATGGGAGTCCCTATAGAAAAGGGGACGCGTAGGGGACACCCCACAGAAAGATGCCGTTCCGGTGTCACTATAGGAGAGGCCCTATAAGAAGGGTCCTTAAAGGGGGCGCCCCACAGAGCGAGACCGTTCCAGGGTCGCTATAGGGTGAGTCCCTACGGGAAGGGGCCCTGTAGGAGAGGCCCTGTCAGGGGGAAGCTGTTCCGTGTCGCTATAGGGGTCCCTATAGGGGACAACCTTCAGAGAGGGGCCGTGCCGGGGCCCCTATAGCGGGGTCCCTATAGGAGG